TTTTTTTTCTTTCTCTGATTTCTATGGTAATAATTTGAATCAAGTCACCGCTGAGCTTGCCCTTTTTTCTTCCCCATTGTCTTCATCTAACATCTTTACCGTGTACATTTGGTTAGGATATCCACTCATTACTGTTTGCATGACGGAGTTCCTACCTAGTGAGGCTATAACGCAAACGAAAGTCTCCGCCGACGCTTTGACGCTAATCTGGCAGTTAGGGCACGGGAGATGAGAGTCCAATCATGCAACTCCCGCTAGACTGATCTAGGGTAAAAAGTCACCTGGGGTGGGTCACTTACCATGTCCTCCCTTAATTTCGCAACATCAACGTTCATTTGCAACCTTCCAAATAAGCATCGTGATAGGGTACGGCGGAATGAGGGACTCCATCCACCGCTACCAGTCCATGGAGGCCATGAGGACCAGGCCGTACACGTTCCTCCCATGCGTTGTCCAATGGAGGGGCTGAGGGACCTCTTTGTGACAGATTTGACTCAAGCGCCCCGGCGCTTGATCAACAGGCACAGCGTCGGTCTGAGACTTTTGTTGGTTTGTTTTAGAAGATCTCGCTTCGTCCAATCTACTGGAAATTAAATTGCGACACTTGTCCAACCCGTGTCTGATTAGATCGATCCATAACTCTGCGACAATCTCCACTGCGTCCAAATCCTCGTCATCCTTGAACCCTCCTTTTCTTTTATCATGGACTGACTGACTCTTTCTTTCTCTCGTGTACTGTTTCACCATTTAGGGCCTTCTGGAAGGCTGTCCGTTCCTTTTATTGTTGTTATTATTATCTTCCTTTCCGATGCTGAGATAGAGTCTCATGTCAGCTTACTTTCACACTATCACTCGTTTAGTTTCTTTATCTGAATTCAATTCTTTGTTGGAATCCATCAGCTCCTACTATCATTAAAATTCAGCATCGCTGAGCCGCAAATCGCGCAAATGGCCAGAGGTCTCTTTCTGGGGAAACCCCGTGCCCCACGGGAATCAGACATTTCTAATCCCATCTTCAAGCATACTAACGCGTTACCACGAAATGACCTCAAGGCCTTGAAAAATGGTAGCACAGCGCACCATCGGCCGATCCAGCAGGCTCACGGGGACTCCCAGCGCCCCTCGACATCAGACGGACGCCAGCAGGGCAGGAAGGTAGAAATACCCGGACCTGGATTCGATTTTCGGATAGCGGTGCCTCCAGCTGAAGCGATACAATCGCCGACACACAGCGAAAATGGCTCGGAAGAAAATATGATTGGGATCGCTCTAGGTAGTCCTCGCTTGGTAAATCCACAGAACACCTTTTCGCAGATGCAAGAGAAGGCGCTAGAGTCTGCGCGCGGACGCCCCAAAGCAGCCCCGCAGCTCCAGCGGAAGCCGAGCAAGTGGAGGAAAATCGGTGGATTGTTCAAGGCGAAGAATGCTGTTGCATCGGGTGCGAGCCAGCCTTTTTATCAAGTTCAGGTTCAGGGTAGTCAGGCACCTCTCGCGCAGGGTTCTTCGCATTCCATTGATTATCAGGCTCGCGAGGCAAAATCCAACCATGTCATGGATACAGAGGCATGGCCGTGTCTTGAGCCGGAGGTCAAGGCCGAAGAGAAGCAACCAAATGCCAGTGTCGCACAGGTGCCAGCTCAAGATAGACAACAGTCTGCCGAGTCGAAATCGGGACCTCTACTGCAGGTCGATATCCCAAGTATTGAGATGGAACGATACAGCGTTATGTTCAGCGCTCTACTCAACAAAAATGAGCCTTCCCCGTTGAATAGGCGCAGCAGAACACTAGAAAACATGAGCGCTCCCAACACCGAGGTAAATAATCCAACATATTCCCCGATATAACATCACGTACAAATTACTAAACCCACATCAGACATCACCGCCATCACCAGACTTACTTCCGCCCCGACGAAGGGCCACCTCGCCAACACGCTCAAATTCCCCTAGACTCTCATTATTCCCAGCAACACACAAGAGCAAAGCTTCCAAGGTGCTAGGCACTCAAAACCTCCCAAGGGGCCCCAGTCCCTTACCCCGAAACCAAGTATCTAGAGCCGAGTCGCGCAAGGAAGACTCATCCAATGAACAAGATCACATTCTCCTCATGGTGCGCAGCGATACAATAGGCTGCCACAAACCCCAAGACTCAGTATCCTCGTTCATTTCAAGCACAACCATTGACTCAGAAGATGAAAAATTCATCTTGCAAAAGCTCAAGCCAGTCCAAACCTACATTGACCCAAAAGGCGAGCCAGAATGGGAGATGATCAACAAGAGGAAGCCATCTGCAGACGAAACAAACCCGCAGAAATCAACCCCCGCGCTCTCGCTCAACACCCAAGAACTATCGCCCGAGCCTGCGAACAGTGAGTCGACGGCATCGTCTCCGATCCTCTCGCCCCTTGCAGCCGTTCAACAAAGATTCTCTCCGTTATCTCCCTCGGATAGTAATAAATCTGTCTCACCAGCGGACACCATCCGCATGCCTCTTACCAACGAAGTCACAACCGAAGAAGAAGACAAGACGACAGATGAGCATGAGCCCGCAGATCCCAACCCGGCCGAGGAACCAGAGTCAGATGCCGAACAGGAACATGAGGAACAAGAACAGGAGCCAGCCGATCCCCTCCCGACCATCGAGATCTCCATCGCAAGATCCGTCTCCGTCTCAAAGAGAAAACAAGTCTTGGTCCCTGTGGGACGGCGACCTGATCGTCTCACTCCCAGGGCTAGAACTCCCCAAATGGTGAATGGGCAATACGGTCATCGGCATGGCAATTCTCAGGATGCTCGCATCGAAAGTGTATGATGTGCTGGAATTGATAATTGCTGCATTTCTCCCTCTCTCGTGCTTTGAGATCCTGTTGCATTCGGTGCCTGAGTAGCGACTTGACTTGACCTTTCGTTCCTTTTTTCGCGACTCTTTTCCTTTGAATTTCTCTGATTGCCTTCGAAACCAGCATTGCGACTGATGGGTTTTATCTTTTTTCTTTCCTTTTGATCCATACTATGCATATTCGTTCCGTCATTGACGTCGATTTGCGTTCCCATTCATTCCTTTGAGCACAGCCTCGCGTTCAATCTTTCTTTTCTAAATTCATGACTTCTTTTATGGCGGCGCCGAAAGCGAGAGCCGGATCTTTTATTTTTTTTTGCATTTCTTCTCATGAGAGCTTGGATTATCTTTAAAAGGATAGGAGTAGTGGTCGATGATTAGGTGTTATAAACTTTCTTCTTCAGTTAGGTTCATCCATTTTGTGCATTTTATATACTCCCATTTGTTGATGTATTTTGGCTTAGATCAACCAATTGAATTGTTTCATAGAGTTCTATTTAAATATCTACGTCTATGTATAGAAAACCACTCAACTCTTCTCTGGGTAATTGGCTGACTCAGGCACGACCTGTTTTTCAGGACCCATATCCACTTCCACATTCGGCAGAGTCCATTCCATGCCAGGATACGAATCGCTGATGACCTTGACCTTGATGCCGTTCTTAGCTGCCGTGTCTGGGAATTTGACGGATGACCGGATTGTGAGCGGAGGTCCGCCTCTTTGATTGTTCTTCTCACCGGGCTTGCTTGATCCGGCGTTATTCTTGCCACGGTTATTGCGCTGCTTCCCGACGGGAGGCCAGGAGATTCTCTTCAGGGCAAGTAGTTCTCCGTCTTTACCGTCTGAAGCTGCGCTGCAGACGATCAAGAAGAAGCCTTCTGTTTGTGGCTTCGGGAACCGAGGTGCGTAGATTCTGTATTCTGAGTCCATTGCAGGGTTGCGTCTGGTCAAGGATACACTAATACCCGTTGACGAGACCTTGGAGACTGACACCGATAGATTCGGCAGATATGAGGCAGCTTTGGTGAATTGGGCGGCCTGGGGAGGAGAAAGCTGTAGTTTCTTGGAGAGAGTTGACACAGCAGTCATAGGTAGAGATGAGAGCGCAGCAAGGGAACCTGGGAGGAAGGGTCCTTTGGCGCTGACACCAACGCCTGGAAGAACCGACAGTGGGATATCTTCAGGCCACCTGGCTGACTTAATGCATTGAAGCAGGGACATGAGCATCTGACATGCATGCAGGTAACCTAACTCGGCCATGACATCGATTGAGGCCTGCAGAATACGGATGCCCTGATCTAGAACAGAGGTTTGATCTCCGACATAATCGGATATCGGAAGATCAATTCGCGACATGTACGCTTGAAGCAATAAGAACGCTTTCACGTGGGGATCCCACATTGGTAAGTCTCCCATTGATTCAACAGATAGTGGTAAATTCTGAGCCAATTCTGCATTAATGAGATCCTCGTTATGTCGCACAGGCAACTCGTCGAATTCTGTCGCGGAACACATCCAGCTCAAGACATCATGGAATGTAGGATTCGGCTTTGCATGAGCCATGAGATACCGAATTGTCTTGTGCGACAAATAGTAGTAGCTCATGACCTTGCCAAATGGTGTCGGGTCAACTTCACCTGTCGCGGAATCAAGCACAACACATGACGACGCTGCTAACTCGCCGAGCGACTTATCGACCAGATCAATCATGAAGTCCTGCGCTATAGTCTGAGCAGCGATAGTATTGTGCTCCTCGGCCGAGATCTCTAGGCCATAGTACGAAGGGTTCTTATGCAGTCTCCGGAAGAAAAACGTCCAAGTCAGGTAATCAAGTGCATCTTGTTTTGTTGTAATTGTTCCTGCAGAAACTTCAGCGCCCAAATGGTTATCGAGGACTTTGTGTAAAGTGGATTCTACCGGGAACCCGGTGTGCAAGAAGTGCTTGTAAAACGCTTTCTTTGAGTCTTGAGTGAAAATGCGAGCAATACCAGACGAGTCGAACTGCGGACGACCTGCACGACCCAGCATTTGCAGAACGTCAGTTAAGTCCATGTCCCTATAACCCTCGATCTTTGCATCAAAGAACTGGGTTCCTTTGACAACTACAAGGTGCGCTGGAAGGTTAACACCCCATGCGAGTGTACTGGTCGCGACAAGAATTTGTATCTTGTTGTTTGCGAATAGCTCCTCGGCTAGCTGACGATCAGATTCCACCAAACCGGCATGATGCAGGCCGATACCAAAGCTGAGCGCCTCCCGCAATGCATCATCTTTGACTCGCGCGAGATTCAACTCTAAATCATCCTCTGACATGCGTACAAATCGACGAGGGTTATCCTCCATTCCGCAATAATTGATCAGATCCTTGGCAGTTAGACGAGTCTGCCTACGAGAAGCGACGAAAACAATCACAGGCTTTTCTGGAGAGTGGTTTTTGATAGCCAGAAAAGTTGGTCGGTTCATAGACTGCATGAGTGGACAGAACCCACGTTGCTCAGGGAAACCATCAATGTAAATCTCGAGGGGCACAGGACGCACAGAGTGCCGGAAATTGTACAGTCCTTCTTTCACACCCAACCAATTCGCCAAATCAGTGGCATTGGCGCAAGCAGTAGACATACCCATCAGTCGAACGGATCCCTTGGATTGCGAAGCAATGTAATTCATCCGAGATACAATGATCTCAAGAATAGGGCCTCGGTCACCGCCTAGCAAATGGATTTCATCAATAATCACCAAACTGACCTTGCGAACGTAATCTCTGGTCTGCCAACTACGAGAGATACCATCCCATTTCTCAGGTGTTGTGATAATGATGTCTGCATCTCGAATGGTCCGTGTGTCCGGAGTATTATCACCAGTCAACTCGACTAACTTCAGGCCCATAGGTCCTGTGAGTCGCTTTTTCCAGTCGTGGACTCGCTCGCGGACGAGGGCTTTCATGGGTGCGATATACACGACCTTCGATCCAGGCTTTTCCCTAAAAGCCCACCACATAGCCAACTCTGCAGCCACCGTCTTTCCACTTCCTGTAGGGGAGCCTAGGAGGACGTTGGCAGGAGTGTGATAGAGAAGGTGGAAAATCTGTGTTTGCATTGGGTTGAAGAACTGGAACCGCTGTCCATAGAGTTCTTCGAGAATAGGATTTTTGAGAGCAGAAATCGGCAGTGGTTGGAGGTTGAGAAGGTCTGTATAAACACTCTCTGTGTCGGGACGGATAAGATGTTGGAATGAGACTGGAGTTACCGTTTCCGCACCTAACCATCGATCTGATATCGCACGAACGTAGATTTGACTTGGTAATGGATCCGAAAGCGGGATGGTGAAGTTGAGCTCGTGCTCGTCATGGAGCTTCTTCCGGCTGAGGATGAAATACTCATGATGGTAGATCTCGGAAGTTTCCGAGTTCTCTACCCAGATCCAGTACGATTCTGAAGCTCCATGATGCCTGTCATTCCAAGTATACTCGGGATAAAGGCATAGGCGGATACGCAGAACGTCGCGGTTCAGAGGTGCGATTTCAGCCTCCACGCTGAGGGTAGGGAAATTGTCTAACAATTTTGCTAGAGTCTTGCCCATTTTCTGGTTGTGAACCAGCTGCCCAATCTCTGCAACATCCATGTCCCTCATCGATTCAATAGAGGAACTGGGCAGCCTCTCATCCAGATTTCTGAGGATAGGCTGGGGAAGATCGAACTGATGGAATGGGTGATCGAAAGGCCAGATCTGTTTCTCAATGGACTTGCACATCGACAGCAGGACTTGGCATTGGTAACCCCAACGCCGGTTCAATGCAATCATAAACAAAGCGCGGCATATACGAGCTGCATTTTGTGCAACATAGCCGGTATCCGATACCAATGCGAAGTCTTCAACTTTAGCACGCGAAATGTAGGACTGTAGCAGAATATTGGTCTTTGCATGAGGAGAATCGTTTCCACCCTCTATCTCTGTCTGAACGGCCTCTTCTCGTAGCCTGTTCAGCTCCTTTGACTCGTTTTCTCTCGACTGAATATTGTCGAATTCACCGCTCATACTGATCATTTTCAGCACGTCTGCTTCTCCTGCCTCGGCACGCATTAATTCGTTGAAAATTTCAATGCTGGTCTGCAGGACGTAGTACTGGCTTGCAATGCGGCCAACATCCTTTGCTCGGAGTTCCTCTGTCCGTTCATTGAAGATGATCATTTGACTCTTTTGCAATACGAGGGCAGCCTGAATAATCAACTGTCGACGTCTTTGGACCAACATGGGATCATCACGTATTTCAGCCCACTCAATGCCATAATTCCGAGGCTCCCGCTTCATGCGCACAAAGAGGTAAGAATATCCTAGCCATTGTACAGCTTCTGGGACGGACGTGACCGTGCCAAGCGAAATCTCGGCATTTAGATTGTCTACAAGTCGGCTGGAGAAACGAGACTCAATCGGCTGTTGGGATGTCACCGCTGAGAGATAATGGTGCAGCTTATCATGTGTGGTACAGATGAAGCCGATACCCGTATCTTGGAATTGGGGACGACCAGCACGACCGAAGATCTGAAGGACATCGAGAATGCCAAGGTCGACGAATTTTCCCTCCTGGGGATTGTACAACTGTGTTCCCTTAATGACAACTGCCGCAGCAGGAAGGTTGACACCCCATGCCAGTGTAGCGGTACAGCAAAGAACCTTAATCAGGCCTTCGGAGAACATACGTTCCATCAAGTTACGGTCGCTCCGGCTCATTCCAGCATGATGAGTTCCGAAACCACTGGCGAAAAGATCCCGCAACTCACGAGCACGAGCATGTTTCATATCCTTGAGCCCGTTTGAGTAGTTTTCATGATCCTGGCAGCTGAAGAGGTTCTCACAGCCCTCATCAGCAGCCATTTGTTTCAACATTCGAGCAGTTAAGACCGTATCTTTCCGCGAATGCACGAAGACCATGACCTGATGTCCTCTTTCAAGCATATCACGCACTTTCTCGTAAGATACAACATCAATGTTTTCTCGAGATTGTTTGGAGCCAGGCTTTCCTTTAACGCCAATAAAGTGTTGCTCAAGAGGAACAGGTCGGAACGAACTGTCAAAGTAGAATAGACCAGCCATCTTATTCACCTTGAGAAAATCGGCGACATCGAGATAGTTGGGCAGAGTGGCAGAAAGACCAACGATACGGATGAGTGATTGCGTACTCTCGACCTGACGCTGGGTACGGGCTACCAAAGACTCGATAACGGCACCACGCTCGTCGTGAAGCATATGAACCTCATCGATGATCAACAACCGTACTTTCTGTACAAGCTCAGTGTCTCCAGTGCTCTTCCGTGTTACCACGTCCCATTTCTCAGGTGTGGTAACAATGATTTGGGTTTCTACGATCTCGCGCTTTGTGAGTTGCATGTCACCAGTCAGTTCACGGACCTGAATTCCGAGCCAGGCCAGTCGCTTCCCAAGCTTCTCAGTGACTTCAGCAGCCAGCGCTTTCATCGGAGCCACATAAACGATCTTGAAGTCATCTACCTGAACGGCAAACTCTGTTGCCTCCGGTTGTTCAACAGGGTTTGGGATAGTATTCTTGCCAATGGCATTGAGAATCGTCAGCATCGCGGCGTCCGTCTTACCAGCACCAGTTGGAGCACAAATAAGCATGTTTTCACTTGTTTTGTAAGCAACTTCATACAGCAAACTTTGCATCCGGTTCAATGTTTTGTAACCTTTGAAGGTGCCTTGACATAGACCGTCCAATGAAGATATTTGCACCAGCTTTTGCGTGGTTCCCAAAGTGCCTACCCTGGAAGCTGGAACCTCCACCTCGGTGTATTTCTGCTCATCTATCTGCTTGCTACCAAGAGGCAGCCCATATTTCTTTCCACTAAATGAAAGTACGTTCCTATTGTCATGCGACTTGAAAACATGGGGGTACTGTGGCTCCTGTCTCGTTTGCGCCGGCATCAATGGAGCATTCTTATGTTCAAAGTCCTGCTGCCGCAGGGCCTGTTCCCGTTCTGCCCTTGTCTGCAACCTTCCTGAGAAAAGACCATCTGTTTGCGCCTCCGGACCACTGTGAACGCTCCTGAGGATTTCCGTCCGATGTGCGATCAACTCAATCACGAAGTCCAGGTCATCGAACCCAACAATTTCAGCCAGGGACATTTGCAGTTCGTCGTCCCCGCTGTCGGTCGCTAGCGCAGCCGTGATCTGTTGAGCTAGCTCATTGGCACCCAGCCCGGGCTTTTGAGAGGTTAGGCTCTGGCATTTCTGCTCTAGCCAAAACTGGTCGTAAGACGACGCTGAGGGAGAAGCAAAACCATCGAACTCCTCGAAATCAGCACTGGACTCATCGTCGGAACTGATGACATCCCAGATATCGTCGACTGTGCCGGGCGAAGAGTAGTCCTCGTCAAGATCTAGATCCAAGTCACTGCCATAGCCAGGCTGGTCTTTAGCGGGGTCTTTGGGAAGCTTTAGCTCTGCAATGGCCTGCCGCATGGCAGCCAGTTGCGTAAGCCACTGCGACTCAACAGACTCAGGTCCATCCATGATGAGAAACTGTGCACAAGGATAATGCTGTACAAAATGGAGACAGGGAACAGGAATAAAGCAGCAACTAAAAGCTGTGGAGTTGGAGTGAGATGGAGAGGTCAGATTTGAGCGGGCAGAATGAAAGACCGCCTACAGATATGATTAGCAGTAGATAGGACGAGAGTATGCACTATTCCTAATACAGGTAGTTATAATGATCTAACGTATTTCACTAGCGAGTCGGTCACACCACCGAGTCGGCCACCTCTGTATTCCATACTATTTCATTATTTTTTGAGCTCCAATATCTCAGCAACCACTAGCTCATATATAATAAAACATGAACCATAGCCTTATATATACTTTTAGAATATATCTTTTTCGGTATAAGTATATATAAGCGAATATATAATAAGTAATACCAGCTTAGAGTATATAACTTTAAAATACAACGTAATATATTTTACCCGGAGATATATAGATGTACAATCTATAAGATTCGGGTATTGGCATCAGACCTACTTGAACATAGTAGTCTAAAAGTATTATACAGATTATATAAGGTGTGGTTGAGATAATAGAGCTTAAAAAACGATGAAATAGTATGGAATACAGAGGTGGCCGACTCGGTGGTGTGGCCGACTCGTTAGTGAAATACGTTATCAGGGCTGACGTAATCGGCTATGTAGTTTACACCCAGATAGCGTTTTCTATCATGGTGAAATTCCAGGACAGTTCCTTAGGTAGGAAGGTGGAGTAGTAGTGCATACGATCTGATGATCATAGAGCTAAGAGACTTCGACTATGACTTTTGGTTGGACACGTTGGTGGGCGCTTCGGCCGCAGCTGAGAACAGAATACTGTGGGGTTCATGAATGTATAAATCGCATTTTCATAGTAATATGGTGCAATAATTTTCTGTAGGTAATTGGACTAATCATTTTGCCATATCTAGTCCGCGAAAGCTTTTGAGAGCGCCTAGTATTTAGGATACCAACTACCAAACTCCTAGTCCACAATCCTAGTGACATCGTGTCAACATCCAGCTCAAACAATGCATCTGTGAACTTCATGAGATTAACCTTAGCGAATATATAGGCTCGGTTAGCTTTGGCCCTGTTACGGATCCAATCTGGGAGCGTCTTCCCAATCAAGGTTAGTGATGTCTATGCTTGAATTTTCACGAAAGCCAATATACATGTCAAGGACCGTTTACTACCGAAGAAGCTTTCAGTGATGCGCCTATCGATGCTTATCAATTATTGACACCGAGATGTCACATTAAGCACTTCTTAGCTGGCTTGTTATCCCAGAATAAGTACCAGATTGTGTTCACCCATGGAGACCTACGCCTTGCGAATATCATGGTCAACGATGAAGATGTTTTGTGGCCTTATCATATGTCTCCCAAGCTTTATCCAGAGTCTGACCCTCCACAAAGCTCATAAAAATGTAAGTATCGAATAGACAGCCGAAGTCAAGAATATCTCCGTATATTGGACCGTAAGTGTAACAGGCAAATATCTTTGGTACGGGTATTTTCTTTGTATTTTCTCCAACAAATATCATACTTTTCGCCTCATTGAGTGTGACATGAGATCCGAATTTTCCACAACTCCAGGGCATCCCCTCGCTATCCTAACACTGCCCTAGTGGGAGATAGTGTTGCTCTTGTTAACCTTTTCCTTGACAATTTCCGGATGTAACACCGAAAAGCCAGGAACTGAGCGAAGGATATTTACTTCTGGCTCACTGTCCACAGGCTGTGCAGTCTGCTTCTGTTCGGTGCTTGACATTTTAAAGTGATGAATGGGGTAACAAGCTAAAGAACTTTAGAATGTAGACTTTAGATGACCAGTCCGCGATGAACACTCTTGCGGGGTCGTTGCCTGAGATGACAAAGCTAACCCAATCAGAATATCTCAGTATATAACTTCAAACATAGAGGAGCCTTGCTCCTTACTTTATGTAAATTAAGTTCATGATTGTAAACGGGAACACTTCTTAATATAGCCCCAGGATAGAGCACAGGTTTATTAGAGAGAGTATTATTGGTTCCTCCAGAATATATAGTAGTTGGGTTCAAGGTGATATACAAATGCCGTTTCCCCGCAGATGATATTCATGCCAATAAGCATCTGGCCATATAAGCTGTGAGCTATTAAAATTTATGAAACTAAATAGCAAAAACACTTGTATGCTCAAGAAAATACCCACATCATCAGATAAATTTTAATATCTAACCATAAAGTACTGGCATTGGTGGGGAGAATGCCAACGAAGTTGAAGTTCGGTCTCATGTATGTGACAAAGCATGTGATTGGCTGAACTATGGACAACGTCAGTGACCTCCCGCAGCATAAGTTCTCCACCTCAAGGCAGGCAGAGAACAGAAAGTCAAGGATAAAGACTACCCTCGGGTCTCCCTCGACCTACACTTTCCCTCTCCACCCTAAATCTTCCTCAACCATGACCTCCCCCTACCATCGCCGTCCTATACCAGATTACTTCCTTGCCTCTCCACTCGCCGCATTCCTCTACCCTCTCCACCACATTCTCCTCAGACTCCGCGGACCACCTCGATTACCTCCACCAGACGCCCACCCCATCCGAGTCGTCTGTATCTCCGACACCCACACCCTCGAATGGGATGATGTGCCAGACGGTGACCTTTTAATACACGCCGGCGATCTATGCAACGATGGCAGCGTGCGTGAGATCCAAGCAGCGGTAGACTGGCTCCGAGGACTACCCCATCCCCACAAGGTAGTCATCTGCGGCAATCACGACAGCTACTTCGACATACGGTCGCGACTGGAAGAAGACCGGGACAAATCCTTCGCAACGGTTTCCTCCTCCACAGCCTCGCTCCGCTCCATCGATGACCTCGAAAGTCCCCACCGCATCGACTGGGGCGACATCCATTACCTCCAACACTCCGCTGTCACCCTTTCCTTCCCTCCACCTTCATCCACCGGCTCTCGTACCCGCTCTCTCACCATCTACGGCGCCCCTCAAATCCCCGCCCTTGTTCCCTTCGGCCCCGAACATGCCTTCACCTATCCACCCCACTACGACGCCTGGTCAGGCACCGTCCCCCCAAACACCGACATTCTCATCACCCACACCCCACCACAATCCCATCTAGATCTCTCCCCCGTCTACTCCACCGGCTGCCCATTTCTCCTCACAGAAGCATGGCGTGTCCAGCCCGCCCTCCACGTATTTGGGCACATCCACGCCGCTTATGGCATGGAGCCAGTCTACTGGGATGAGGCGCAGAAAGCGTGGGAACGACTCTGTGCGTCGCGGCGACGACGGGCCCGTAACGGCCGTTTCAGCTCGCTCTTCGGCTTCCTCCGAGACCTGTTCGATATTTCCGGATGGGTTGACTCGGCCCGCGTCGTTGTGTATGGTGTTTTGGGAGTGGTGTGGGCTAAGGTTTGGGGTGGTGAAAATCGCGGCTGCGGGTGGATGGTGAATGCAGCTTGCATGTCTCGGGATTCGAAAGGGTTGTCGAATAAGCCGCAGGTTGTGGTTTTATAAGACCGACAGAGTCATGTCAGTATGGTTCTTGGGGTTTGTAAATAGTCTGGGGAGGTAATGATTGACGTGTGTATGTACATAGGTTCGTTTGGTGCGCTATGCATGGTGTTTTTGCGGCGTTACCTCTTATAATTATTCTTAATTTTTGTATGGAGATTAGTTGAAAGCAGATGATAAAAGTTGTTTAATCTTAAGATGTATTCTTTATGTTTATATTTATAACCCAGACATCATGTCTATATGTCTGGTAGTGCGTAACATCTTTTCACTAAATGTACAGGAATCACCATCATATATCGTCGGACCACGTCTGACGATGGGGTATATACAATCGGCTAAGTGGCGAATCTATCAGCCAACGACCGTCAACAACATAACCGCAAAACAAGCTTCACGTGAAGGAACATGCAAAAATAAAGGAAGCCAAGAATGAAATTTTCAACCACTACAGCTTAGCCTTCTCGCTAAACCGAGGTGCCTGGAGAGGATCATAGGCACGGAGGGTCAAGGTGTCCGAAGGAACAGAAGCATGATGACCGCTGTTCAGGCCACGGACATCGATCAGGCTGGGGTTGAGGTCTGCAATCTTGGTGGCTCCGATCAAGCGCATGTTCATTTCCATCTCGTCCTTGAGAAGCTGCATCGCGCGGTCCACACCGGCCTGGCCGTACGTGGACATGGCGTACAGGAATGGCCGTCCGATACCGACACCACGGGCGCCCAGGCACAGGGCTTTCAGAATATCTGTGGAGCGACGGACACCGCCGTCAATGAAGATCTCGATCTTGTTCTCCCAGCCGCGCTCTCGGAGGATGGGCATAACCTCTGTGAGGACCTCGACGCCAGAGGGCGCGGTGTCTAGCTGGCGACCGCCGTGGTTGGAGAGGACGACACCGTCCAGACCCATCTCGGCGGCACGGAGGACGTCTTCGACGCGCTGGACACCCTTCAGGACGATGGGCATCTTTGTGATGGACTGGAACCAGGGAATATCCTTCCAGGAAAGAGAGGGGTCGATGAACGACGAGATGGCCCTGGCGGCACCCTGGGAGCGATCAACGGCATCGCCTCCGCTGGCTTGGACGTTGGAGCCCTCGTCAGAGAATTTGGAACGCATATCCTTCTCACGGCGGCCGAGTTGAGGGGCGTCTACGGTGATGAATAGACCCTTGCAGCCGCGGGCTTCAGCATGCTGAACAATGCGCTTGGTGATTTCGCGGTCCTTGTTCACGTAAAGCTGCAGCCATTGTACCTGGTCACCCTTCTTGGCGTCCACGATCTCGTCAAAGGAGCAGGAAGCTAATGTGGGGATCATCTGGATGACATCGTGGTCGTGGGCAGCGCGAGTGAGCACCACTTCACCCTCAGGGTTACCCAGCTTTCCGAGAGCAGTGGCGGTCACGTAGAAGGGAATCGAGGTCTTCGCTCCGAGCATTGTAGTCGAGAAGTCAACATTCTCCACGTCAACGAGGATTTGAGGACGGAACCAGATCTTGTGGAAGGCAGAGTGGTTTTCACGCATAGTCTGGAGGAGTTAAATTAGCATGGTGGAATACTCTGATTCGTGCTGTTGCCACTTACAATTTCATCATCGGCACCGCTAGAGTAGTATGCCCATGCGGTCTTTTTCATCACATCCCGGGCGACTGCCTCGAAGTCCATCAGGTTGTAGCATGCTTGCAACGGGGGCATCCGCTTGATCCGCTCTTGCCGTTCTGTTTCTTCGGGGTCGGCAACCTTCTCTTCTTGTTCGACAGTGCTCATATCAACCTCTCCCAGGTGCTTAGAGCCATCGAGGTATTTGTCTAGAGTGTCCGGAGGGTGGATAGGGTCGAATTCCTCGGTCGCATCCTTGCCTGCGTACTTCAAGATGATCTTTTGGCCGCCGGGATGCTCTGTTGCCGCTGTTAGAAGACTCTCAGCCTGAAGGGACCGCAATATACTATACCTGGTAAGAACTCGGTCACATCGTACGCCTTTCCATGGACAATGACCCAGCAAGAGTCGCGGGAGTTGTGCTGGGCGACATCGGCGCCGGTGAGCTTGCCTTTGCTCATCTTGGATAGAAAATAGAAAAAGAAAAGTGGTATGAAGTGTTTCCCGAGACGAACTGATCGAAGGGCAGAAGGAAACCGGAGGTTCCAAGGAAGCTATATATGTGGGTGAGATAGTAAAAAGTCTTTGTCCCAGAAATTCAAGAGACGAGGTTACAAGTTAGGCTTAGACTGGACACATGAATGGACCTCGGGATAATGGACAGCGAATTGAAATGGGGCTCGCAGCAATCGGAGGGCACTCGTTGGTCGGATAAACGATAAAGAACGGGAGTTGATGTGCTAAACCACGAAGCCTGGGGAATCATTGCGGGGATCCGATTCGGGCGATGGGCTTCTCGGCCGACTTTGTTGCGACGGCTGCCAAGGTCCAGACTTCCAGTCGGATGGGTACGGAGTACGGAGTACCTACACTACGGTCAATTATGTATGTACCATCGCTGAACAACAGCCACCTTCCCGTGAACATTTCACGGAAACAAAGGGAGTGCCCCTGAAAACCCCTTCTAAATTCTATGGGAGCTCATTTCTTCTGATCGGATATGATTTGGTAATAAATAGCGCTGGAGATCCCCGTCAATTGATCTACGTATATTAACTCACAGTCCCCCCCCCTCCCACCCCAAGAGGTGAACCATTTCTGAAGTCGCATTGGCAGCCTCCCCCATTCTTATGGGGCTTGCTGGTTAGGGTACTTCAAAACAGACGTCGGAATATCCGATTTGCACATTGAGAATGTAGGTGGCAAACACATCAGATGAACATTTTTCTTCCCTGTTCTTACCCTTACATATGCAGTGTGGATTGCAAGTTTAATTGAAAGTACTATCGAGTTGATACAACTCCAGATATTATTGGGCCTAGACCTGCAGAAACATAAGCCGAGTCTTAAGACTCATATAACAAGCCAAGCAGGGGACACAATGTTGTGACACATGCTTTTCCAGAACGAATGGAACAAGGGCTTGTCGATAAGGATAATCATGCAAGAGACATTCTGCATGCATTTACAAATATGGAATGCTGATTGCGTCTCAGTGAAAGAAAAACACAAGATAGCAAAGGGAGAAACATTGCCGAGTTAAATGCAAACTATGCAAACTCTGCTAGGGCCCAAGTTGAAGCCAGAGTTTTCAGGCGGCAAGGCATCAAAATCCCATAGGGTCTCGAAATGCTGTGTAACTGATCTGAGAACGTAAGGCTGATGATCTCCGATCATATCTTACCAATGCGCGGTTATCTGATAGCCATATCGTTTTCCCGCAAGCTTGCAAAATGGCGCACTTGGTTGTTGGCATTGCACCCGTGTCGCTCTATAATTATTGGGTAAATGCACTAAAATGAGTAATCTGAGGAGCAAGAAAGAATTGCTTTAAAAAGCGCATGCGTGAGCACCTCTGTAATGAATAAGTCTGGTGATGAATACCTGTCATTCCAATGGTATCTTGCAATGTGATATGACCGGGAATGCGTCGTGAACAACGTCCGTCTTCAACCTAAGTGCAATTTATGTTTTTATGTTTGATGGTTTTGCAGAATGAGATATTGATTCGATCTGAGAATTTCGCGCTTCAAAAGAAGTCATGAGATGCGGACTAGCTGAGATACCCGGCTCTGCTTTTGAAATCATGAATGGCTTTTAAATGGAGACTTGATTATCATATTGAAGATAGGCAACGTAGAAGCGGGGTTGCAGTTTTCAACCTTCGAAAAAATGGTAAGATGAATCTATCTCGCCCCCCGTTATTCCACTGTGCATCATTGGCATACTCCTAGCATGGCTGATGACTTCATTGCAATCTCCTATACTCCATATGCCTTGCTTTGGGGAGTATGTGTCCAATGACAAAGTGTTAATCTGGTCTTCAGATCTCTCACGTCACAACATGAATTGATTGTACTGAAGCATCTAGACTAGTGTTAGGCTATATTAAGATATTTGTGGAATTCTTGCCCCTGAGACGCGTCCATGATTCTATTCTTTTCTCTGCCTCGTGACTATGTTTTCCGGGACCTCCGGCATACACCTATCGGCACCGGCGTGCCGAGCCTGCTGTACTTAAGCCATCGGCTTCCCGACCTATTTCCTCCTGTGTAGCCGGCCCTGGAATTTTGGTAGAACGCTGGTCTCTACACTTTACATTTTACTGGCGAACCTCTCTACATCACGGCACTTCTACATCTGATCATGTCGAAAACTCATCACATATTTCCTATTACTTAATGTTGAGTACCATGAACACTTGGCACTCAATATATACCAGCACGATGACTAACCTTCATTCTCATTCGCATATTCGTTCCACCTCATCCAACGAACCAATCGTTTTGGCATTCGGTGTGTGTCTGCAAATTTTTCTTTTCCATTTTTTTTTTTCCCACATTCATTTCTCACTATCCTGTCGGAGCTTCACCGGCTAGCCAAGACTTTTCTGCCCGGCAGGCGGGCCGGCTGCCTCAAACGGTCTGATCCCGACGCTTACTCCCAAAGCCGACCGAGAAAAATCGGCATCGGCCCGCTGTCTCTTCAACTCGGGATGGGTCTGAAGCCGGCCGAAGTTTTGCCTGAACACTGAGACAGATGCAATGTGGTGGGTTCTGGGCGTACTGTGTAAAAGAAGATGATGGACTGCATGCAGTGATGCACTGGACTACCGATGAGGAATGGTGTCAGATTTGGCCCACCTGAAGCTCAGACAGGCATCAGATTTTTCGACGCTATAGCGGCTATACACGAGCATTCAAGTCACTGATATGGGATGTGTCGACGAAACGGGCAGTAACAGCTGCGACGTCATTTTACAGACCGATCTCATGATCCTTCCGCAGGACGCGCCGCACGTGTGGTCGTCATCGACAGCTGTCAGAGCGTACAGAGTAGATACTCTATCACCATTCATTTCGTCAGATAACATCATCTTGCAGGTATGCGACCGGGGCGTGAGCCCTTTTTCGGAGAACGAGCGAGCCTCGTCTCGTGGTGGGCATGAAGTGTGAACAACCGTCCGCTCGACTATCACGACTGTTTCAGTCGATTGTGTGGGTTATGCGGAGCATTTTGTTTCGCTGTACACACGATGATTGCTCGAGAGCTATCCGCCGCATTCCGGATGTAACATGCGCCTCTGACGTAGTGAGATGAAATGTTAGTGTGGAAACGGGCCCATGCGAAACTGGATGGGGACGTGAGGGGCCATACAATTCTGACGAGTTACGGTATACCACAGGCCTGCTGGGAGCTCAGGAACGATCAGCCATCATTGGTGGTTTAACGAAGAGGACAGGCAACGAAGTTATTGTCATTGGCAGATATGATGACGATTTTCACTTGGTGCGCGTCGTTTGTGGATCTACTGAAATCCACTCGGATCTGCTCGAGCATTGGCTGCTCCCCACCTTCGCCTCCACCACCTTTGGTTTTCCACTGCTTAGGGCTTTTGCTAAGAGGGCTTGTCCAATTCTTATCCCTGCTAAGGCGACAATGTCAAGAGCTTTTATTCCTGAACCCTGCTTCTTAAATCCCTTGGCGCTTGGCAGTCTATCCGTGAGGGGCCGCCATTTACGTATGTAGTTCCTGTTCTGGTTACTGTCGTGGGATGTTGTTGTCGGCTTGACGGTTTGCTCGGGCACGGTGCCACAGGCAGAACGTGAACGTGGGATTTGGTGTATCAGTGCGGTATTAACAGAATTTTTTTTCGAAGCAAGGCAGAAGCTTATCTAAGTGAACTTATTGCTCGAGGGTTCCGCGTGGCACACGAGGAGCATTGTATGGGAGTTACTAAGCTTATGCCGTGTGATGTGTGATATGGTTGGTGCCCCCGGTTCTACACAAAATGGTGGGCGTATTAGACACGGTCTTACTGGTTACCCTCGTTCATGTTATGGACCACCCGACATCGACGATACGGTTTCAGCCGGTGTCTCCGGTGGAACAGTTGTGTCGGAGCAATTTCAGCTAAAGGTAAGGAGTTGAAGTTTCGCGGGTTCCGAAGACTGCGGCAGGCCGAGAAAAAAAATTCATTGGGTCGAAACCACGCAAGGAAAATCATCCATGCAAATCCAAAGATGAAAAACCAAAAAATTGGGGACGTGGAGACCAATCCGCATCTGAGTCTATGAGAAGTCGATAATCAAACCCACGGTGGAGGATACCCATGCGGTCATCAGGTCTGGCGTCAAATTACCGATTATCATCTCCCATCATTACTGCGATAGGCAAATGATGCGCCTACCTTAACATGTGCTAAATTCGCTAAAGCAATGGTGGTTACTCGTGTAAATTGCTTTGTCGTCTTTTTATGAATAATCTCATTTTTTGATCAATGCACGAACATAATTGGTGCCATTCAACATCTCACCTTGCAGGCTAACGCTAGGCGCGGTCGGGAAACTAATAAACGGGAACGGCTTCCCGAACATCGTCCGAGGATAGCGTTCGAGCCGTCTTTCTCGGCACGATGGTGAGAAGCTTTGGTAGACCGTGGATCCCGTTATTAGTGACGGGAATGGCGTGAAGCTATAACCCGCATTCGACTTTTGCTGATAAAAACGTAGTATGGTGTATATTTGGAGGCTTGGATAGCACTGGATTAGAGATATGGTGGATGAGCTCATCTGGTCATGCGCCTATGATTACCCCATGGGAACGGAAAACCCCTTCGCTCTAGTTTCCCCAAAGAGTTGGAGGGTGGAGATGAAAGAGGAAAGTCAACCCTGCGTCGGGGGTGCTCCATGTGACGTCCGCTGTGCCCTACTCCCCTCCCCGTACGGAGTAACGATACCCCCTATACATGGAATGAGACTTCTACGGAATTCTTCGATAAAGCGACCGAGGAATGAGACAGGCCGACCGACGCACAAGGTGGACCTGAAATACCTACCTCGGTGGAGGCAACAGTCGACAGGCTGTGCATTCAGAGGTGCAAGAAGTTGAAGAAGCCGTCGGGAACGGAAGAATGTGCCAATGATCGTGGATCGAGAAGGCTGCAGGGGACCCATAAGGAGTAGCGTGAATAATAATTTCTTTTTCAAAATTTGCTTTTTATGATTTACCCATTATTATTATTTTTTTTTTCTGGGTTGCCTTTTCCAGGGGACCCCATGAGTGATGTCACAGCTTGACTACTTTATTGGGCCCACTGAGCTGTGGAGCCCCTGGCGAACCGCGCCAAA